ATGTAAAATGCATATAAATACATGTTGGTTATCGTAATAAAACTGATCTGTTGCCAGCCTTGTCTTCTGTTGTTACAGAGCTTCTGTCGATGGCTAGTACTTGAGCCATCAATAGTACCTTTTCGGCCTCTTCGGCAGAGTCCAGTGTAACCCGTAATGGGGGTGGCTTACCTTGAGGTGTGTGGACACCCCTGTACAGCCTGCACAATTTCACTGAATTAATATTCAAACCTAGTTTACTGCACAGGTTGGACCACTGTTCCTGATCAAACAGGGCCCGCTGTTCAAGCAAGCTGTCCTTGCTCACAGGTACGTTAAAGAGGATGAGCGAATTAGACCGATTAACCTCAGACTTAGGTTTGGCCTTTGGCTTCTCGTATTCCTTTGCAGCATCAGCAACTTTAGGCTTCATCGGGTTCTGGCCAGCCTTTATTGTGTTGCCAAGCTTGCTTGTGGATGCAAGTGGTGCTTCGCTAACTCTATCTTTCCTTGATGTTTTAGGTCCAACCTTGTGAATCTTCACCTTGTGAAAATTGGCATTTTCGGTCAGTAGGACTGGAGTGTCCTTCTTACTGTCTGTGTCAAGTTTTGGCAATGTGATGTTAGCAGGTGGGGAGCTACATAAGACCGTGTTGGGACACAAGGGCGACGTGTTGTTTCTGCTAACCGCAGACACGCTCTGTGTGACTATGCCAGGGCGACAGAGTGGACATATATACCAAAACCACGGGCACGGGTTATTTCTCATAAACTCGTAGTATGATTTCGGTACCTCTTTGTCGCAACGGCAGTGCACCCACCGTTTGCAAAAATTGCATTCGAAAGCTGAGTCAGCTTTCGAAACAATGATATTGCACGCCTGGCATTCGTCTCCCTTACTTGGTGACGCCTTCGAGGTCTTATGATGTCTTGAGCGTTTCCTTTTGGGTTTGTTGTACTTCACACATTGGCTTTCAGTTGGTGCAGGTGTAGTATCCTGTCCTACTAGTATTGCCTGCGCCGTTTCAGGACTAGACTGTGGCAATGCAGGCATAGTATCAGGACAGACGAGTCCTACACGGGTCTTTAGGATGGGTATGCGACTTGGGGTTGGTGTCCTTGCGTTAGCTTCTTATTACCGTTGGTTTTTGAGAAACTACATGGAAATCGCTAGCCCTTTGACAAGGTTGGCTAACAAAAATATTCCCCTCGTATGGACGGAGGATTATGACCGTGCTTTTAAGCAACTGAAAGATTCGTTATGCTTGGCACCTACTTTAGCATTCTCGGATACGTCACCAACAGCCATTAAATACATCTTGGATATAGATGCTGGCCACACGTCTATTGGAGCCGTGTTATCACAGGTTGGTAGGTACTGCAAAGAACGTGTTATCGAATATGGCAGCCACACATTAAGCCGTGCAGAAAAGAACTACTGTGTCACCAGAAAAGAAATGATGGCTGCCGTTACCTTCATTCGCAAGTACCGACCCTGTTTACTTGGTAAATCATTTGTACTGAGAACGGATCACAAAACTTCAAGGACTCTGAAGGACAGACCACATGATGGCAAGAATACCTCCAGGAATATGATTTGGAATGTGTACACCGTCCTGGTAAGCGGCATGCGAATGCTGGTGCGTTATCCAGACGTTCCTTCAGACCTCACGGAGACTGCAAGTCCTGCGAAAACATCGATATTTGTGCTATTTCCTTGGTAGATTTAAGTAGAGAGCGGTGGGCACATTTCCAGGCTACAGACGGTGAGACTACGCTGCTTTATCCCGCCTCGTTGAATCAGACTGGTAAACCAGTCGAAGTTGATGTGAAAGGGAAAAGTTGGGAGAGGAGATATTTGTGGGCCTTATAAGACGAGATAGTGCTTGTGAATGATATTTTGCCTGTTCAACCTGGCCCCAATTACTTAAGAAGAGTTGTAGTCCCTTGATCGTCCGTAACAGTAATTCTGAAGAATATGCATTATGACTCAGGACACGCTGGAATTAATAAGATGCTGCAAGCAATCGCCCAAAGTTATTGGTGGCCTCGCCAGCGGCGCGACGTCCGACACTTTGTCGAGGGGTGTTCAACATGTGGTAAGATGAAGAACCTACAGAGGAATCCTAGAGCGTCACTTGCTAATATGAAGGCTGGATATCCAAACGCAGTAATTGGCGTGAACATCATAGGACCGTTACGTGAGACCACGCGTTGGAACAATTACATCTTGGTCATGGCCAATTATTTTACGAAATGGTGTGAAGATGTACCCCTTCAGCGAACTGATGCTTCTACGGTAGCCAAAGCTATGTTCGACTGTCGGATTGCCTGTTGGGTTGAACCAGAACAGTTTCGTTCTGATCAAGGAACGAACTTTGAAAGTTTCTTGGCTAGAGAATTGTGTCGCCCATTTGGAATTAAGAAGCCAAGAACTACAGCACACCATCTCGAAGGTAATGGGTTAGTAGAGCACACCAATGGAACTTTAGAAGCATTAATAAGACTATTTTTAGAAAGAGAAGCTGAATCAGCCTGGGACGCCATGTTACCAAGGTGCCTGCTGGCCTACCGAAGAAAGCACACACATGTCGACGGGGAAGACACCACACCTGTTACGGATTGGCCACGAGTTACGCCCGCCTAGTGATATATTGGTTATGCAAAGATGGGATGATCCACTGACTACATAGGAAATGGTAATAAGGTTGAGAGGAGACATAACCAGGTAGCATAGTTATGCTTGCGAGGAACTTCAGGAAGCAAAACAACGGCAGAAACATTACTATGATAAGAAGCAGTGGGGAACACTATTCGATGTAGGTGATAAGATATGGTTGCGCCAACCAGGGGCTGACGACTGCGGTCGAAATAATGGATCCCAATAATTTGATTGGAAATTCTATCACTAATTGTTTCAATACTCATTTCACTCTGATAATACTAACTACTTCTATGCTTTAAAATTTGTAAGGGAAACTTAATTTACTAGTCGTTTGTAGTAACTACTCATACACATGTATGCATGTATAAAGGCAATACTGCTAAGAATGTCCTCAGGTACCGATGTATCTGGTGACTTAATGGGAAGCATTTGTCATGAAAGCTTTTAATGTGCAGCATACTGTTTGATTAGGACGGACCCAAAGCAATGCAACAAATACATTTAATGCAAAAGATCTTAGAGCCTAGCATCGAAAAAGGAGGGAGGGTGGCGCATACTGATAAGTAGATATGGTAGTGGTCACAAATGTGAATCGCTCCGATCTGTAGGACAGCTACATGCAATTTTTGACACCTCGAGAATCAAACATGAGTCCAGATCGTCAAAATTATTAAAAAATGCTTTTGCTCCTACCATCTACAAGCCTGCACAGCTTCTTGTCAAGATGCTACCACATGGGCCCTACAGAAATTCGTGAGACATCTTACAGGTCAGCTTGTGCTACACATTCTAACCTTTCGGATCTTTGAATTCACTCCTCACTGAAATACCACTTATCTACCTCACGATAATCTTTTTATTTACGCACTATTATGCTCTATTTTATCTTAACCACCTAGGCCTTTAATAAAGTAAAAACTTACTCTTTGTTCACATTTGTTGCTTGCTTAAAGTCTGGTTGCTCTGATGAAAAAACACAACAACAACACCAATGTTTGAGCAAAGCTATATTTTCATCGACGTCATAGTCTCCATGGTAAGACCAATATGGTAAGCATTAAACATCGCAAATGTATGCTATCATTCCAAGGACTCTCTAGCTCATTGTCGTATATATCTTGTAAATGTACCTCCAATGATGTATTATCAATAATTTTTTACACCATTTTGCAGCTTCCCAGGACGTTCTCCTCTTCCTGAAATAGCTATTAATCACGTGGGGGCATAGCACTTACCCAAATATATGCTTTTCGCTGGTTGACCATAACTATCAAATGGAAACCGAACGAAGTTTGGGTCGTCGCTCAAATTTGATGGCGACCTCAGTGAAGGGTTTACAATTTAACATGTATAAGAACCTGTTCTGATTGCTTGTACAATAATCGAACAATCTAAACTTTTGAAAAGTTATTAATTTATGATTCTTCACGAGTGTAATTTATAACATAACTGATTATGCCTGTAAAAATGGCATGCATTTCTTGTAAACTTACACGTTTATACGAAATACAAATTACTATTATTATTATTAAATGACTGGCATCATGTGTCGAGCCCTTGGTTCGGTGCAGATTGAGTCCTATCAATCAAGTTTGTTATGAGGATACTACGCTAGGTGGCCCGCTATCACATCACTGTGCACTCTGAATTGTTGCTGTTGAATGGTTTAGGAAAATCGGCAGGAAGCCCTTTCTACACCTAGGTTTTACGCTTGCTGGCGGCACTCATCTGTCATCAAGGCATATCTTCAATCCTCAAGGAACTGAGAGCCCTCATGAAATTTGAACTTGTGTCAACCAGTGCTGCAGTCAGAGGCGTTACCATTGAGTTATTCGAACTCGCAATTGACCTCCAGTGGGACTGTATTGAATACTCTGCTTGGACATCATATGGTAGTGAATGACTCGTATGAAGTGTCTAGTCCTTTGTCTAATAATACCACGCAGTCTACAAGAATTATTTAATCTAGGCACCAGGTTAAAACATTCTGACTTACCCAGAGATGTCTTCATTCGGTGTGCTATATCAGCTCGAAACGTCTTGCAGTTATCAATAGTGTGTTACTGCGTGTAATGTCCGATAAACTTATCCAATACGAAATTATATTCTACCACTCCAGAAATTGTGCTCTTACACTAAACTTACCTAAGATTGAAACAAATATACCTTCTGAATACTTAGTCATTATATCATGATAACAGATTGCGTTTGATAGCTGTAACATAACACGAAGGAATCATATGTCATACATAATGTGACTTGTAACTTGCTTAGATTTATTCTTTCAAAAAGATTTACACATGTATACAGTTATAGGCATCTTGCTTTAAGAACACACAAAAAGGTAGGCTTGTGATGACGCAGAAGGCTAAATGCGCAGAAAGTGGAAATGCAGCTCTTTTTTTCAAAAACCTCTCTCTTCTTACAGTCTAACACATAAAAAAATATAAAACAAACAATGAATCAGAAGAAAAGAGGTGAACACACATATAATGATGAGTTAGCGATGTTGTTCAAGATCCATATTGCCCAATTCTATGTCGTCATCATTATATATATTTTCAGCCTGAAAGAAAAAACCAACAAACGAAAATGTCAGATGTTTGTAAGTTTTGTGATGCAAAGTGAAAATTGACGGACAGTCGACAACCTACTTAGTCATGTGACAGTGCAGACCAATTTCAAATCAATCATTTTAAATTACTGTTGCCTCGATTACACCAAGAAGAAACCTAGCTTACGTAATCTGTTGTTCAAACAATATCGAAAGCAGCTGAAAGAATTGAAGGAAAATGAAGAATTGTTCGGGAACTGTCCTGATGAACAAATTAGATTATCTGAATAAACTCTAACTGATACTATACGGTGACAAGGAATTTCAAAAACAGTCGCTTCAAACAGATTTCACTGAACAGATGGAGCTTTAGCTGACAAAAATATTGAAGAAAATGAAAGACGAATCTATTATTAGTAGGAAACTATAAGAAAAACTTCGCGCATGTGGTTCTACAACGCCACGAATGTACGGCCTACCTTAAAATGCACGAACAAGACGTCCCACTCTGCCCGATACAAGATACGATAGATTCTCCATATCACTCAATCGCAAAATGGCTGGTAGAGATTCTTCAGCCGGTGGAAGAAAAGCTGTCAAGACACAACCCTTCGCGACACATTGGATTTCGTTGATTCCATTAAGAATGTCAGTTTGATAGAGAAAAAATGGTCCCACTAAATGTCGTCTCTCTCTTCACATATGTCCTCCACTGACAGAAACTATGTTTTCTTTGTGATTTCATACAATCCAATACCATCGATGTTGGCACACTGTTCCATTATCTAAACGAGCTGTCACTCGATGCATTTTCCAATGTCTACTTTCGATTCAACAATAAAATCGACAGACAAATAGATGGAGTAGCAATGGGTTCTCCTCTTGGCTGACTTTTATGGCTAGCCTAGAAAAAAATTTATCATTAACTATGAACGAGCTTTATCTCCACAAGAGATACACTGATGATACTTCAAACCTTCAATAATATCCACCTAAACATCGACTTCATTCTAGCGCTCAATCTGACGCGATATTCCATTTCCTCAATTTTCAACTGTGAAAAAATGCTGATAACCCTGTGAGGAGATGCATATACAAACAGTTCACACGCGATCGACAGTTTATCAACTTCCACAGTTGTGTTCTTCAAAGCAGAAATGGAAAACCTCATATATTCGCTTTCCTCAAGGATCGGGAAACTATCTACCGAGGAAACTATTGAGAAAGAACTACAAAATCTCCGAGGAATGTTGATGGAAAATGGTTTTCCACCTAGAATTACAGACAAGAACCTAAAACCAATGAAAACTTCTTAACAGGTCCAAGTTGCTGAAGCCGAAATTCGCCATAAACTATTTTAGAAATCTCTCAGTAAAACATACTTTGCCAACCAACCTACGAGTGATATTTTCTTGCAAGAAACCATTCAACCAGCTGTCACAGTTGGCCACTTCAACTTCATTTACTGATTTACTTGCTCATGAGGAGCTGATTGCATAGACCGCACCATCCTTAAGCTTGTAAAACGAACTCGGGAACACTACCTAACCTGGCTAACAAAGGGAGAATGCAAGGGTGTATACAGTTCGGTAACAGAACATCAGGTGAAGTCAAAACAGCCAGCTCCATTCGAAAAGTCCTTCACACTCCTTTAATCAAGATCCGATCAAACCTCTCAAAGAGAGGGAGATCAAGGTATCTCTTCATAGCTAAGGCACTAGTGATCCCAAAAATGCTCATAACCACGCTATGTATTCAAATGAAATACCACCTCATTTACACTACTACTATGTTTCTTATCCAAAGATCTCGTTATTTTGTTATTTTGCTACACTAATAATTCGTAATTGTACAAGTTTACTTTCTCAGTAATTATGGTTCCACTGTGTTCTTAATCCAATCTTCCTCTTTAATATCACATTTAATCCCTACTTTTCAATTTTGATAATAATAATTTGTTTTATTCCAAAACAGTACTAATGATACAGTGGAATTTTCAGCATTTGCTACAATATTCCATCTAATTTTATCGAATAACATTAGAAACAATTATAAGGACAATATTACAGGATTGATTGTTAATGGCAGTTCTTATGTGGTATTTATAGTGATAGCAAAATCATGCATATATACAAAAAATTGTAAATATTAATGATAATAATGTCAGTAGCTAAGATTGTCAATCAGTTGATTGCGATAGTGCCACCATAGATTGCAAATAGGAGAGCCGATTATTTTGCTAACAACATAGTAATTCATAGGTTTCGCGCTTTACACTGTCTCTATCGCATAGAACACGGGCTGGCCACATATGGTATCGTTGACTTCCTATACTTGGCAGTACGAGCATATAATCTACTGAACTGACTTCTACTTCTACCGGATGAGATACAAGTGATACAAGGTGGGGAGAGTTGAGAATAGGGGGTCTGGGTGTTGAGGGTCAGACAATATGGATTTAGACCATTTTTCGCATGAGTTGTTCACATGTCTATCAACTAATGTAGTAACAAGCTGACTGACTAATTTGCACACCCTTTGCCCTACTGATAACCTTTAATACCCTTGTTCTTGAAATGACATAGTCCTTTTTCAGTAGCCGAGGAAAGACTAAGGATGGGGAATAGCAAAGTACAATTTGACCCTTGACCAGAAATAGTTGTGGAACTTTCTCATCCACTTACTATATATATATATATATATGAATGTAAGGCCTAGTTGATAAATTCACCGGAAAAAAATTTTCTTCGCTGCAACCATCTTTTTAATATTTCCTATTAAAAACGTGTATATAAGTACTTCTTCCGGATGTGAAATATAATTGTGAATAGAAAAAGAATAAGTGTACAAAAGTGTATGTGTTTTGATTGTTTTAACTTTTACAACTCAACATGGAGTACAAATCTATTTTGGACAACAGAAACCACGGGAGTGTCGCATTGAGCGTTATTAGCCGAAGTTGCAGTACTACACTGGATCCCCCGTTAATAGATGCTTATGCTTTTGACAAGCTAGAAGAATACACAGCAGTGTGAGTGCTTTCCAACATCTCTGCGCCTATGCACCAACGAAATGTAACGCGGATGCAATTAAGCATGAGTTCCATATTAATTTGTTTATTAGATATATCACATACAGTGAAAAAGTATTATTTAGTGGATGACAAAGTTTCGAACACAATTTATTGTTGTTCATAATCAGAACATCAATTATAACCACAGAACTTCGAAACTTTCGTTTTGGTAATTTTCTTTATTCATTCCTATTCGTAGTCGTAGGCGTAGTAGAATTTTCCAGATATCTGGAATGAATAAAGAAGATTACCGAAACGAAAGTTTCGAAGTTCTGTGGTTATAATTGATGTTCTGATTATGAACAACAATAAATTGTGTTCGAAACTTTGTCATCCACTAAATAATACTTTTTCACTGTGTGTGATATATCTAATAAACAAATTAATATGGAATTACAGACTACCACAGTGCTCAAGTTTAACACATGTATTAAGGATAAGTTCCACTGTCAGCTGAGTGAGTTTCTAAAAGAGACGCGTCAAACCGATATCGTAGTATTCGCTGGTGACTTGAATGCACTGGTCATGTGTTAATGGATTAGAGGAGACTAGTCCACGTGGTCATTGCGGAACTACAAGGTTCCGAGTCAGAAATGGCAGCTGTCCTCAGTAGTTTTTAGCGGATTACAAACTACTTCTAGTCAGAGCCAAATTTCGACATAGCCACCGCCGCAGTGCTACCACTAAGTGTCCTCCCCCCTCTGCCACCTAAGCCTAAACTCAAATATAGCACATTGCAATCAGCTATTGATGACGTGACTATCGCTCCGTCTAAAGGACTTCTTTAAATTCTGATCATGTTTAGCATGTACCCACCCACCCAGTGGTAGTGATCACAAGCGTCGTCCCCAATAGATTGATGTAAGGAAACTCGTAGCACATGCTACCTGGTTAGACTCAAAGTCAGCTACTTACCTCCAGGTCCTTCCTCTAGGTTCCGAATGCAACACACAGCATCAACTGCACATCTGCCATAATTTTCTACCAACTACACGGGTGCATACAACCTTCCCTTTTCTTTTCTCACATTATAGCTTTCAAGTTATACTCGGATGCCAAGTTCATTGGTTCCCACACTCGGGAGTCTTACGTATGGTATCACCTGGATATCTTTCCAGTGTATTTCAAAATAACCTACATTTCCCTCTTCATAATTGTTAGTTGAGTGATAAGTATTTTAACCGACTCCTTACCAGATTTCCTTCTGACTTATCATCTCCGGCCATCTGATGATATTCAGTATCATTAAGGGAAGGCAACTCTTGATGAAAGTCTGAAACAGCCGGCTGCATATACCTTTAGTGACCACGCGCAGACCAAGTGTTTGAACTACATGTAAACAGAAGCACAGACTGGACACTAGTGTGCTGAAAATTCGGATCCTGCTCCCTTTGTTGAGTACCACTCCTTAGATCTTTACATTGGGTTTCACAGTAATGAAATGTGCATTGGTTGGTTAATCAAAACGCAATCTGTCTTGCTATCCCCGATCATTGCTGCCTTTGAGAGGACCATCCATGATATCCGTAGTTAAAACGATGGTTATCGACCGATGATACCTCAATATTGCTCACTAACCTATTATAACACCACCTAACACGGGAGATAGATAGAACACAGACACCTAGGATCAAGCACAGCTAGCTGACGTTTTTGTATCTTCCACTCTCAGTGGCCATGTATCACAGTCAGTCAACCGTAAATCAGGACGGAGCGAACTGCTGAGCAGTACACACGCCCTTTGGTCGACAGCCAACCAGCCAGCCGGATATCACGTTTATTAAGCCAGAGAGAGATGGTATAAGTTGGCTGAAAAGTGCCAGACAAGCATTCTGTATCCGTATCCGGCTGGGATTTCGTCAGCCATCAGATCAACCCTCTGATGTTGGCTGGGCTGATGCAACTTCCAAAATAAGTGAAGTGGTCAATACGCTCAGCC